TAAATGAATGATACTGAGCCAGCTTGTGCTTCTGGATGAAAATGTTCTTCTTTTACAATAGTAGAGAAACTCCTGCTGGCTCCAAAGAACAAGATCTCTGACCAAGCTATAGCTTGCAGTTAGGACCCAAGAGCTGAACATCTCCCGCAGTATCCTGTGGGTCTGAGTGAGTTGCTCTGTGGCTGAGCCGCCACCCAGTCAGGGCCAAGACAGCTGACCAGAACATTGACACTTTGGTTTATTTTGGTTTTGTTTTTTTGGGGGGTTTAGGTTTTTTGTTTGGTTTTCTTTGTTTTTTGTTTTTGTTTTGTTGATTTGGTTTTGGGGTTTTTTTTACTCCTTTCACAGTGAGCTCCTATGGCCAGCCCCAGCCCCCCCATCTCTTCTCCGGGCCATCACCTATGTACCAGATTTCCACCCAGGACTCTCCAGGATATAATCGCCCAGGTAAGGGGTGACATTACAGGTAAGGGGTATGTAGTTCTGGTGTCCTCAATATAAGAAGGACATGGAGCTGTTGGAGCAAGTTCAGAGGAGGTCATGAGGATGATCAGGGGCTGGAGCACCTCCCATACAAAAATAGGCTGAGAAAGCTGGGGCTATTCAAACTGGAGAAGAGAAGAATGTGTGGAAACCTCACAGCAGCCTTCCAGTATCTGAAGAGGACTTAACAGAGGATGCTGGAGAGGGACTCTTCATCAGGGACTGTAGTGATAGGTCAAGGGGTAATGGGTCCAAAAATAAACAGGGGAAGTTCAGGTTAGATATAATGAAGAAGTTCTTTACTGTGAGGCTGGTGAGGCTGCCCAAAGAAGTTGGGAATGCTTCATCCCTGGCAGTGTTCTAGGCCAGGTTGGACGAAGCCTTGGGTGACATGGTCTCGTGTGGGGTGTCCCTGCGCATGGCAAGGGGGGTTGGAACTAGGTGGTCTTAAGGTCCTTTCCAACCCTAACCAGTCTATTGATTCTATGATTAAGGTGTATTATACCAGGGAACATCAAAGAGCTGGTTCCCAAGCCCTTTGTGCATTTCTCCCAAAGCACTTGTTAATCAAATGGAGCACTGAGGGTAGAGAAGGAGATTGGATTACAAGGGACCCTCCATTTAGGTCTGTGCCATAGCTCTGGCAAGGTTTAGGATTTCAGTGGCCTGATTTCTTTCACTTCACATAAATAGTCTTCTAGCTCAGCCTTGCCCTCAGTTGCTTGAAGGCAGCTTTACACAAGAAGCTTCTGTTGATGAAGTCCTTTGTGGTCCATCAGCAGTAAGCTGTAAGGAAGGTTAAGGAGACTCAAACTTAACCTCTGTAGAAGCTGCTGCAGAGAATTTTATACCAGACCACCTACAGACATTGGTAGGTGCTGTCTGACGGAGAAAATCATGCCACTAGTGTTCTTGCTTGTTCAACTGTTGGAAAGGAGAAGGCCCAAATCTCTTTATGCTTTCTTTTGCCCAAGGGCCCACTGTGAAAAAAGTGTGACATTTTTTATTCTAACTGTTCTCTTTCCTTTCTGTTCTATTTTTCTGTTGGTTTTGGGCAGCTCACCATCTGGTCCCTCGGCCTCCAGGGCCTCCTCCAGGCGCCACTGAGGAAATCCCCGATGATTTTGACTGGGACTTGATCACCTAACGAGTTACAGACTTGATAGCCCGTCCTTTGTGAAGGACGCGGGAGGGGAGGGAGACATGGGGTCACTGGTGCCAGCACCACCCTCCCCAGCCTCCCTGCCTTGCCTGTATATAGATATATATTCTCTATCTCCGCCAGAGAAGCCACCGCAAGATGCTGCCGAAGATAATCCTTCCTTGCGTCCTGTTTTATCTTCTTTTTCTTCTTTTGTTTATTATTATTATTATTATTGTTATTATTATTACCAATAATTGAGCACAGCCCCCCCCCCCCCCCCCCCCCCCCGGTGGCCTTGGACGCATCAGATTGGCTCTTAATGTTGCGTGGTGCCCTGTGGAGGGTGGAAAGATGTGTCCTTGGTGCCATGAAAAGACCTTGGAAGGCTGAATCCTTGAGTGCATCTTTCTCTGCCTCCGTCATTTTGCGTTTAACAATCCCTCTTTCCCTTCAAGGTGGCCGGTGAAGTTGTTGTATTGGCTACTGGAGTGGGAGAGCCTAGCAGACCCTGGGAGCCTGTAGTTCTGTTGTTTCGTAAATGTTGTAAAGGTCCGGGGGCTAAAGGGACACTGGGGAAGTGATCTTAGCTCTGTGAACTTTCTTGCACCAGCAGGAAAAGGAGTTCCCAAGTACAAAAAGAGGGTAATCCCTGAGGTAGGGAGAGCTGAGGTGAGCTGGGAGGGTTGACCTGAGTTTTGGAGGAAGGAGAATGTAGCAGAGAAGTTGGGTTTTGGAATGCAGTGCCATCTGTGACAACTGAGGGAGATTTTAAGGGAATCCCAGCCTATTTTCTACACTGCCTTTTATGGTCTCCGGGTGAAGCCTACATGCCCATCAGGTAAAAGAAGCAGTCAGGGGTGTCGCATGTGATTCAGCAAATTCTATTCCCCAGAGCTTTTAACTTCACCCCCCATCCCTTCAAGCCCTTCTTCAAAATAGTATTGAGGCTCTTACTTGCATATGCAAATTTGGAGGTTTTCTCCCATCGGTATATGTTCAGTTGTTGTTTGATCCTCCAGCCTTCGGATTTCTTTGGAGACTGCTCTTGCCTGTGGTTCAAGAGTACCGGCAGCAACAGGGCTCTTGTTGGCGGTTCCCACTGTGTGAATGGGCTGTGGTGGGAAGAGTAAGCTGCTGCTCAGAGTGGAGGTGAATGACAGGATGATGGGCAAGGGGCTGGACCCTCTGGTCTAGTAACTGGGAGGCCCTCACGAGTGTTTTTTCTAAGAGGTGCATTAGAAGAGAGGATGAAGTGGAGCAGATTATTAAAATGAACAGCCAAAGTGTAGTATAGAACGGAGGAGGGTGGGTCAGACCCCTTTGCAATTCAGCTGGGGAGATTGTGGAATCTAGTGTAAATCCCAAAGGATAGGTTTTGTCAGCACTTGTGAACAGGAAGGTGGAAAAGGTGCAGGAGCAGGAGTGAGTGTTGAGATGCCTCCCCAAAGCTGTGTCCCCTGTTCCCCTTTTTGCTGGTATTGGCTCCGTTCTGTCAAACCTCTTGTTTCTTCTTAATATTTTGTAAAGCCTCCCCCCAGCCTTTATTCCCTGTTCACCAGTGAAGGGAACCAGGATAGAAATAAAACATTAGGACTACTTGACAGATTTGGGGCAGGGGAGTAATAACCTCTACTCTGACTGCAGGAATGTGGGGAACTAGCATTGCTTTTTAAATTTGCTGTAGGAATAAAGTAATTGGATCTTTGTCAGGGAGGTGGACAGAGTCTCCCTGGACTGGGAGGGTGGACATTTTTCTTTTTTTTTTTTTTTTTTTTTCCTCCCTTTTAAGTGTGTTTTTTTGGGGGGGAGTTCATCATTGAGTATTTCCAAGAGAAATGAGGAATCCCAGACAACTGCAGCGTGGAGTCAGCTATTCTCTCTGCTGCCTCAGGATGGGAATGATACAGCTCGGAAGCATGTGTGTTAGGTTTCTGTGGAAAGTGGCACCAGAGACAACCAGGAGAGATGACCTCCAGTGGGTGCCAGTTAGTGCTTTGCAGAGGGTATTACTGAGAGCCAGCCCTGTGGAAGTCTGAAAACACCACCAGAAGAGAAACCAACTGTGATGGCTCCTTCTGCCTATAAAGTGCTCCTCATTTTCATATTTGCCTCATTTGCATATTAAGTTGTGCCTCATTTGCATATGTAAATACATGCCGGTCAGTGTGCAAATCAGCCTCGTTCCTCTGCCCTGAGATAAATGTGTGTTGTTGGTGCGTGGTTTGGCCCTGGGCAGGCGTGTGGAGGTCCGCAGGGTGCGCGGTGCCAGTCCCCCTCTGCAGGCCCCCCCGTGCTTTGTGTCAGTGGCCAGGAGAGAGGAGCGTGGTCTCACGAGTTTATTTTTGTGCATGCTTTCTTAATAAAAACAAAAAGTGAATGTTTATGGTTTAACCCTCTTGGTGCCAGTATTGACTTCTTTGCCAGCGGCGCCCGGCTGGTGGGCATGGTTCCCACCTACTTACATCAGAACCAGAATTTAGGGGCTAAATGAACAGCCCCCACTGCTGTGTACTTCAAGACCAAGACTTTTTAAGATGTCTAAAGTTCTCAGGGCACAGACATCAGTGAGTCTCTCAACTTGTGCTTGCCAGAAAGGCGAAGAAAAACTATGCCAATGCTTAGGGACTGTATGTCAGACCATGTATTTAGTTTACTCCCTTAGGGAAGGACTAACACACAAAGGTGATTTTTAAACCACTTCAGAGTTCCTTGGAAATGTGCTTGTGCTTTTCAGGAGCAGAGAGTATCTAGACTTGGAAAACGCCCCCAACTAGCCTGACAGGGCACAATTTTCTCCTCTTCCACCAGCAAGACGTGAGAGCAGGTTATGACTGTACCGCAACAGGCTTATTCCCCACCTTCTTGGGGTCAGAGTGGAGGTTATTACTTCTCAATTCCAAGGCTTTACTAAGTGCCTGACAGTCCAGCAGCCACCTAATCTGGTTCAGCAATGAGTGCAGTTGCTCAAATTCTGCTGGTGTGTCATTTTAAAATGCAGTAGGTACATTTGCATGTACCTCCTAAAAGGAAGATTTGGGACTCCAGTGGTAGAGGGAGTGAATGAGTGCAGGCTAATGAATATAGCCATAGCATGCGCATTTGACCAGTTACTGCCGTACAGTGGTGTATTTGCCAGGACAAAGAAACATCTTGGGCATCATCTACCAGGGCATGGAAGTCAGCTCAATGAAGCTTACTAGGGCAAGTGCTCTGCTAATGCACTGCTGTAAGAAAATGTAGCACTACCCTCTAGGAAAATGTTCAGAGGAAAAAACCCAACCCTCAGACCCCAAGTACATTCAAAGGAGAGGGAAAACAGGATGACAGATTCCAAGGAGACATCAAAAGTTGCTTTCATCTGCCGTTTATCAGAGACAGGAGATGTAGAATGTAGACATGCAAATAACTCTAATGATGTTCTCCTCTAGCAATTCAGAGGTTAAACTACATGATCCCACCACAAATCATCCTGCCAGCCTGCTTTCATCTTTAAAGGTTGAAGTACTACTCTTGTCTCCTTCACCACTATTTTCCCTGACATTATTACTCTTGGTACTTCAACTTCCCATCTCTGTAGTATCTAAAGGGGGTTTGCTGTTGTGAGCTGAACCATTTCAGTGCTTTGTGTGTGGAGCTGCAGATTAATCAAATGTGCTGGAGAAAAAAAAAAAAAGCTGTTAAGTGGAGAGTGATGTGTGGGGCCACAGCTCCTATTTCTACAGTGGTGATCGGAAGTCTTGCATTACACTGTGCTGCTCGTGTTCTTCTCTGCTGAAGTCTTGCTTCTGTGAAGAGAGCAGGGGATGGAACGTGTTGACTCCTCAGTAAAGACACCTTCCAAGATTCCTTGCAGTGATTGTCTTGCCTTTGCCCTGAAGTCCCGCCCCACAAAAACATAGACCAGGGGATTGATGCAGCTGTTGGCATATGCAAGTGCTGTAGAGAGGTAATCCCAGAGGATCAATGACTGCCCCAGTCGTGTTCCCAGAGTAGGTATAAGGTACAGAATCCCAACTATGTGGTATGGAGCCCAGCAAATGAAGAATGCAGCTACCACAAGCACAACTGTTTTCAGCATTCTGTTGTGTGGCTTGTGAAGCTGTTTTGCATGTGTTCGGAAAACAATGAGGGCATAGCAAACTGCCATTGTGCCAAAGGGGAGCACGAAGCCGAAGACAGCCCTAGTGATGTTTATTGCCACTAAGGCAAGTGACACAGGATAATCACCTTCATAGACGTTAACCAAGGAGTCATTACGACTGTAGTCTAACAGTGAGTATTCTTCCTGTAACTCATTTACAGGACTATCCACATAATCTGGCATTATGTGATCTCCAAAATTGTACCCACACTCAGTTTTGCCATCATGACTGCTAGTCTCACGGTAGTGGAAGACAGGACAGCAAAAAACGAAGGCCAGGATCCAAATGCCACTGCATATTAGTAATACAGGTTTCACTGTTCGATGATTTTGACACCAGATAGGTTTCATCACAAGAAGGCACCGGTCAATGCTGATGGCTGTCAGTAGGAAGACGCTAGCAAACATGGTGAAGATTATGACTGATGGGATGACTTTGCAGAGGAACCAACCATACAGCCAGTGTTCATGGAGGGCCAGGTGAACAACGGAAAATGGCAAGGATAGGCAGCAAATGAAGTCAGCCACAGCAAGGTTTAGGAACCAGACAATATTCACAGACCTTTTCATTTTCAGACCAGCTACCCATATCACCAGTCCATTGCCTGGGATACCTATGACGAAAATGATGATGAAGATAGCAATGGAGACAATGGATTCTGATGCATAATGTTCATCAGCCTGTTCATGTGAACTGCTGTTACCCAGGAGCGGAGGCATTCTGTAACTGTAAAACAGAAAGCAAATTAGTTGGCAATTCATGTCCTCCTTCCCAATTCTTCTCTGTATTTGTACGGAAGCATCTCTGAGCCAGGTGACAGTACAGAGCTGTCAGGGTACAAAGACAGTTTGTAAAGGCTTAACTAATCTGGGCATTATACAGATTTTTCATTCTCATGGTGGCTAAGCTACATAAGCCTCACTGTTCAAACAGGAGGGTTGTATACTCTTAAGTCCTCCTGTCACTGTCAGTGACAGAACCAACTGCAGTCTGGTTCCTTTTAGTCTCCAAAGTGGAGCTCTCTGTTCACATGCCTACACTGTCACCAGGTGTCTTTTCTGATCAACTTCCAGCTTTGTATATACTTCTTCAGAAAGGTAAGCCAGCATTTAGTTCCTTTTCCCTTTAAAACAAGTGATTTTTTGGCATAACCAGTGTAATAGGTTTAGGTTAAGAAAGCAATGCTTGTCTTCAAGAAATAACCCTGCTCCACTTTCTGGGCATTATAAATAGAACAGACAGGACAGCAATCCTGTTTGCTAAGGGGTATTTTTAGGGAAGTTTCAGTAAGCACTTCCTTCTCCCTGCTTTTGTTCTGAGCTCTCAGCTGGTTCCTTGGAAAGCTAGTCTTGATGAAGAGAAACGCAAGAAATTAATGGTTTACGAAGAACAGAGATTTGGTTGTAGAAAGAAAAAATACTGAGCAATAGCAGCAATGTTCTTGAGCATTTCAGATACAAGAAAAGGTGTCTTATTGCAAGACAAACTGAGTCACAGAATACTTCAGTAACATTTTAGAACTGTGAGAATAGTACTGGAAAAACTTTAATTGCTCATTTATTCTTGGACTCAGTAAACTTAGAAATGAAAGAAAATCTAGCAAAGTCAAGATAGAACTGAGAGTCTGATCTTCATCCTTTAGGCATTAACACAATTGTTTATAAAATCCCTGTTAACCTTTTCCATGTGAATGGAGACAGTTGGGTTGCTGAAAGGTCCCTAAAAGCATTACCAGAATGCAAGGGAGCTGCATAGGTACGAGCTGAATACAGCCTGCAGAAGCAACTGAGGAGACATGAACAACCCAGACTGACTATTTTAACCTCTATTATGCCAGTACTTAAATGCCAGTCAGGGTCTGTTGTGTACAAAACTAAGTATCAATTTAATTAAAAAAAATAAAATCCAAATCAGCAACTGGGGCTTAACTTAAAATCCTAACAAGTCTTGCTGATATATGAAGAAGCAACTTTTACAGGGAAAACTGGAGAACAAGAACTGAATTTTGCTGTCTCCCCATATTGGCTACAGAAGATTCTATGAAGGGGAGAGAGAGTCAAGGAACGCTGTGAGGATAGATGGGAATACACATCCTACTCCTTAGCAAACTGAGGGATGAATCAATAAGAAGATCATGACCACGCTATGTTTTTAAAAGTGCTAACAGGGCTGCTATGTGGTTCTGAAAATGGAAGGGGGTAATTGGAGGGCAGAGAGAGGTTTTGAGGAGTGAAGAATAAGAAACTGAAAGGTAAAGAGGAAAGGAGAATTCAGTTTATTATACCTACCTGAGTGAAGGAGGGTATGCCAGTGGTCAGGGAGCAAGTACCATCAGTCCTGCTTCTGAAGTGACTGAAAACAGAAACTCATAACATTTTAGGAACCGCTTTTTTCCTGTATGTGCATGTGTGTGCTAAGTATGTTCTTTCACCATAATGGAAAGGTTTAGAATGACTCGTATTTGAAGTTTTAGATTAGATCTGCTGATAACAAAACCAAAGAACCTGTTCCTGCATGAACCATCAAAATAATTAGTGCCCTGAGTCAAAGAAGCATACAAAGCAAGGGAATGTGAGGCACATATACTTCACTGCAGTCTCCGTATGACAACCAGATCACATCTTGCCTGTTGGCATAACACTGACCTTTGCTTGATGTAATTCATAATTCCAAATCCTGCCATCAGGTGGCTGATCTGTTATCTTGTAGTCATTTCCATGTTTTATCAGATCAGCACATTCACATAGACAATACCGTTTCTGGGATTCCTATCAATCCAGATCAGCTTCTGTCAAAGCTTGAGACAGCTTAGTTTACCAAACACATAACAGTGTACTTGGCAAAACCTGGTCACATCACAGGGATTTAAATCTGATTTCTGCCTTTCAGGGTATTTCAAGTCTTATTGTTAGCTGGGGTTTTTTGTTGTTGTTTTTAAGAAGGAACTTGACAGATGAAAAGTTAGAAGTGGTTTAACTGAAATGCTGATAGCACAAAATGTGACAAGACTATAAAAAGAAAAGGCATGTAGGGCAAGGCATTTCAAATGTGCAACAGTAGGGTTCCCCCTCACCCCTCCAATCTAGGAAATCAAAACAGCTAACAGAAGTGACAAAGCTCAGACATACAGGAATCAGTCTTGCTATTTTGTTTTTAGTCTGGAAAATGAACCAGGATGGAGCAGAGTTCCATGCCTGAGCGTGTCTCTGTGAAACACAGGAATGCTGCCTCCAACACAAACAAAATCTGAAAGCAGAAACAGGAAGGCAGGCTAGGGCTGGGCTGTACCCCAGAGATGGACAGGCTGACAGCAGCCTGCCACAAAAATTCCTCTAGCTGCATCCTATTCGCAGCTGACATCTTTCCTGGGGACTTCTCAGACCCAGGCAGAAAGTGTACGCAGGAGGATACTCCTATTGGCTCCTGTTCGCAAAGGGACACACGGCCTTTTCCCCACCATGTGCTGGTTCTACTCAAACTCTTCTTTGCAAGAGGCCAGCTCTGATCCAGTTAAACCCTCTCCCCTGCAGCCAACACTGACACAGCCAGCACTTTACCTTTAGTCCAGCCAGCTCACTCTGGACAGTGTTAAGATGATGTAGCACCTCTCTGTACAGCTTCCCAGATCAATGAGCTCTTTAAGCTGTTTGACTCGTGAAGCATTTTGCACCTCAGCAAAAAGGGCCAAACAACAAAGACACTCAAAGAAGACAGTGCCAGGAGGAAAAAAGGCATTTTGTTAACTTCCATAAAATGGTTAATTAGAGCAGACCAGACCTTTGACTTGCAGTTTTGATGGCAATCCCAGATCACTATGCTGGATTCTTTTTTCTCTCTTCTGGATCTGTTTTCTCTTCTGAAGTGTGCTTTTTTGTACATTGCAGAGTACGATCAGGTAAGCACAAGCTTTGGATACCAAGCAGGGAACCATGCTTGGCAAAATTTGCACATCTATAGATCATGCATAATTAAAATGTAGCTCTTCACAATAACAGGTTCTCAGTACTGGCTGAGTGTTCAGGTCCAGCGTTTTGCCAGAGCACTTTCTGGGAAGGAAACACCATTTGTAATAGTAGTTGGACTGTTTTGTAAAAATAATCTTGAGATTAACCTTTAAGTTATCTCATGAGTTGTTCTGTGAGACTGGTTCCCCTGTACCTTCTGGAGAGAGAAGGAAAATTCCAAATATATGGTCTATCCATTCTTGGACAATGCCTTTTTTTTTCCTTACATAAGCAAAACAAATGCAAAACAAAAGCCCAAATATTCTTCTGCATGGTTTATTATGAGGCTACCTATGGATTGGCATGGACATTTTACTCTGTTTTTGCAGGCCTTTTTATTTGCACACCTCATCTGATTGAACATTGTGGAGTCCCATCTAAGATTTCTGCTACTGCTTGGTTTTCAATCATTGAAGATTTCTCTGAGGGAAGAATATGAATCCTCCATTGCTTTCATAGTCCGAGTTTAAATATGTTCTCCTTCAAGATTTCAACCTCACTACTTAATCCTTTAAAAAACAAACAAAACAAACCCCAAAACTTTAGCTATTTTTGGCAATGCTTTGTATTTTCTAGGTCCAGAGATGCTTGTTTATAAAAGAAAATGTTATGTTCTCTGCTAGTTAAATCTTAGTGGAATTGAATGGCAGATGTATTCCCAGTGCCCTAGTGCTGCTTGTGCATCTGTCCTCATATGCCTTAGAGAAGCTGGCCCTTGGCCACTCTCATCTGAGATTTTCTCCTTCTAGAACTGTGGGAAGATGGTGTCACACTGAATGACACTACAGTAAAGAAGCAGGTGAAATTTAATATTGCCAATTGTGAATTATTGAATTTGGAAAAGCAACCATAACTATAGAGTGATATAAATAAGTTATTACTATTCAAAGAAAAAACTTAGCATTTACTGCAGAAAGATCTGTGAAAAACAGTACTAATCAAAAGGTTAAATATAACAAGCATTCAGTTGCTTCTTGAATATTGAATGCTGCAATGGTCCTCAATCTTAAAAACAATTAGAGAATCACAAATGATACAGAAAATTATGACGTAACTCAGAATGGCTTCTTTTGGTGGACAAGCTAAATAGATGAGAATGATTCACCTTGGGAAAGAAACATCTAGGTAGCAGTATGAGAGACACATGAAGGTGACATAAATTCTTACAGCACTAGAACTAGGACACATCGAATTATCAGGTAGAAGTTTGAAAACAAAAATATTACACTTTTTCATGTTACACAATTAGATTCATGGCTCCAGGGATGATATGGGTAACCGGCAGTATAAATAAATTAAAGAAAAACCGAAGTAGATGAATCTACACAGAACAAAACCCTATAAAATACTACTAACAAATGCACATAAGCTCCTGGCCCACACAAAGCTCTTGTATTACACTGTGAAGCTAGTATAGTAGGAAAGTAATTCTGTACTGTTTCATAGGCTTTCTTTAAGCAGCTCTGTTCTCCAAGGTTTGTCTCTCATTTGGCTTCTTTGCCTTAATTCTGGCAGTCTGGCAAGCAATGTAACAGCGACATATTGCAAAAGCTGGGAGGCAGAGCCTTCTTTTACACTGTGGCACGTACCTGCACTGAGTATTGGTGCTGTGTATTCCTACGAGTTCTTGTGCAGGGTGCATGAAATGGTTCAAATCTGTCTGCCCACCCCAGCACGCAGCTTGGCAAGGCACCCTCTCAGCTGGCAGAAGGGAAGGGGAAAAGGAAGCTGCACATCATGTCATTCCATATCTGTTCATGTGCTTAGCTCACGCCACTCACAAGGCTTTCCTATGTATCTGCTCAAACAGCTGTCAGTATCATTTCTGGGGAAATCTAGGCCTGTGGCACTTAGATATGCTTGTTAAATTGCATATATCCTACTTTGCTAGTCTCAGCAACTCAATACTATTCCTGTCGTCTTCAAAACAGTACTTACCACATCCATGGAATCAGTGGGCTCCCTTTCTTTGTTTCAAAGTTTTTCTGCACTGGGCAGCATCAGAGATACAGTGCTGGGCTAGTTGGATGTTTGGCCTGACAGAAGGACAGCTTGTTTGACTGCTATGATTGAGGTTCGTTACCATCCTGTTCTACTTCTCTTTGGAAACAGCAGGAAACAAAACTCCAGATACGGTTTCAGCTCTTGCTGCATCAACTAATGCGATCCATAGCAGGGGAAAAAAATAAAGGAATTCCTTAAATTTAGCTGTTTCATTCATTGTTTGCTTTACACTCACCAATAATCTGTGCTCAGCCAGTCTTCCATGGAGAGCTTAAATGACTGCCTAGCACAATTAGCCCATGTTATGCCCATCCCTGGCTACACAGATATAGAACTTTGTAGCTTTTCTTACGCCTTTTCTTCCTGTTTTCAGAGTAAACTTTAGTTCTTTTACATACTCAGCCACAGGCTACTGCACAGCATGAACTTCAACACCAGTCTTCCGTGAGAAGTCACGATTAAAAAAACTAGTTTAAATGCTATCTGCCTTATCATATTTGTTAAATAAACTAGTAACTATACACTTATCTTGGCCACATTTCTGGAAAGTCACACTCCTGAAATTAACCTTTATATAACAACAGTCACCACTTCCACTTGCAAAACTTGTAATGGTTTATGCCACATTTTCTCTTTGGTTTGTGATTTTACCAAAGGCTGCAAAAGCACTACAGGCTACACAAAAACCCATTTTCACTTAAAACACAAGCTTTAACCCAAGTCGGCAGGAAAGAAAGCCACGCTGGGGAGAAGGCACTGAGGGCACGCAGGGATCTACAAGCCCCCAGCAGGTATTCACGCGGCAGCACAAACCCCAGCCCCGTGTTTTGGCACGTCCCAGACGTGGCTTCCCAGCTCCCGGCGCGACACCAGCGCCTTCTGCTTGGTGACACCGGTGGTCCAAGAACAGCAGCCGGCGGACACCCCCCCCCCCAACACCCGCGCACTGGACTGGCGAGAGGCCCTGCTCCACGCCCTGCTTCACGCCCTTCAGGGCCTTCCCGACACCCAGGGCGGGAACCTTGGCTTCCCAGGGCGCCTTAGCCCGCCCACTCCGCCCAGCTCCAGCATGGCGCCCGGCACCACTTCATCAGCCCGAACCAAACATGGCTGCCGTAGGGGAATTGCCAGGGTCCAAGATGGTGCCAGTCCCCGCTGCTGTGCCAGAATCGGCTTCAAGATGGTCGCCTCCCCACCCCGCTCTTTGCTGCCAGGATCTAAGATGCCTTCCTCCGCCAGTCTGACGTGCCTCGCTTCCTGCCCGGCGCCCCAGCGGCCCTAGGCGGTGTTTGCCCTCATCTAAGATGGCGGTCGGAAGCACCCCTGGTTATTAGCCTCCCACCTCGCTCCTCGCCTGGTCGTTGGAGTTCGCGGGCGAGATGGCGGCGGCTGAGCTGGAGTACGAGTCCGTCCTCTGCGTGAAGCCCGATGTCAACGTCTACCGCATCCCGCCGCGAACTTCCAACCGCGGGTACAGGTGAGGGAGCGTGTGGCAGCTAGAATCGCCCTGCCTCGGCTCGGCACTGCACGGTCCATCCAGCCCCTGCCCGTGGGGATGGGGCCTCAGGCCGGAGAGCAGGGCAGCCGCGGGTTGGGCCTGGGCCCCCGGGCAAAGGTGTCCTCGCCCTGAGTGGGGCCTTGGGAAGCCGCGGCCTGCGGCCGCAAGCAAACCAGGCCTGTACCCTGCGGCTTTACTTGGTGCCCTGCGGCCGCCTCTTTGGGGACATACCGGCTTGAGTTGCCAGTTGTGGGTTGTCCGCTCCTAACAGCAGGAGCCTTTGTTCCGTGCTATGGAAGAGCAAGGGCTGCTCGTGTGGAGGAGGTGAGGGCACCTGAGCAGCTTGCTCCTCCTAGCTCCTAATATGCCCGGTTCCCTGGGATGTAGTATGATGTAATGGCACATTGAATTTGGCCTGTTGGCTCTCACAGCAGCAGGGAGGAAGCCAAGTGTTAAGCATGATTTTTTTCAGAAGAGATTGCAGGACCAGGAGTTAGAAATACTTTCTGTCATGGACCGAAACCAGTGCAGTGTGCACCAAGCTGTGCCCACAGACTTCCTGGAGAACGGACAGGGCTTGTGCTCTGAGGAGCTGATGGATGTTGGTGGTACTCAAGACTTTGGCAGGCTGTTGCTGCTAACAAACATAGATGTTTGCTTTCAGTTGTAAAATCCTGTAGGTTGGGGATTTTATCTCTTTTTCCCTTTTTTTCCCCCTTCACAACAGTCTGTAGCAAAGACTTTGATGGGATAATCAAGATGATTGTGTGTGTGATGTTTTACCTAATGTAAGCTAGCTGCCTCTAGGTTCAAGTACTTGATACTATTTTACAACAATAGGGTAGAATAATGGAGTGGGTTTTCAGCATGCTATTAATTTTTGTGGTCTTCCTGATGCTCACAAGTCACTTATTAGTTGCTTTTGGCTTTACTGTTCTAAGTGAATGTCTGAGTTTGTCTTGCCTCTTCTGCAAGTTTATAAAGGTAAAGACAGAGTTGTTCTCTGGACTGTATCTATTTCCATTTACTTAGAGGAAAGAGAGGCCAGTCAGAGCCAAGTGTGTCAGTTGGCAGCAACAGAGAGGAGCTGAGACCCTCTGTATTGTTTGGGGAGAGAAGTGGAATAAAGCAGCTGCACATGTTAAAGGTTTGGGAGCAGAGGCTTTTGATAAGATGGTTGGGCAGAAGTGAAGGGGTTGATGGTCAGTGAACAGTTGCTTTTCTTTTCAGGGCATCTGACTGGAAACTGGACCATCCAGACTGGACAGGACGGCTTCGTGTCACTTCCAAAGGCAAAACTGCATACATAAAACTGGAGGATAAGGTTTCGGGTAAGGGAAAAGCTGTGGCTTGGCAAGACTGCGACCGTGATTGCTGCTTATGAGCATGTGCTTCTAAGCCTTCTCAGAGCTGTGCATGGCAGCCCTGGCCATGGTTTACCACAGAGTTGCTCTTCTTAACACCTAGTTCTTTATGTGCAGGAGAACTCTTCGCCCAGGCTCCTATAGATCAATACCCTGGCATTGCAGTAGAGACTGTGACAGATTCCAGCCGCTATTTTGTCATTCGAATTCAGGATGGGACTGGTGAGTCGGGGGATTATGTATGTGCGAGGTGTTAGGGGTGAAGGAGACTTCAACCGTATGGAGCTGGATGTCTGTCAGGTGGATTAAAATGGTGTTGGGAGTGCTGAAAAGCCTGGGTAGTGTGCCTGGAGGGGTAGGGAGGTAAGGTTAACAGAGGAGGGTTCTCAGATTGCACAGATTGCAGGGCCTGGGAAGGGATGTTCAGTTTCTGAGACTACCATTGGGAAGAAGGGTGCATCCTGAAGGCTAGGAACAGTGAACTGCTGTGAGCTGCTGGTGTCAGAGGGCGGTAGCATAGGGTGGTTTAGGAGAAGCAGAAGGAGTATGGAGTGAATGAACACAAGAGCGCAGTTGCAGGCAGGGCACCTCCAATGACGACTCCTGTCTCCTTGCTAGGACGAAGTGCTTTTATAGGCATTGGCTTCACGGATCGTGGTGATGCCTTTGACTTCAACGTCTCTTTGCAAGATCACTTCAAGTGAGTTGTGCTTTTCTGGAATGCTGTTTTTCCTCTGGCCTGTAGAACGTGGCGGGTGGTGGTGTATGTTAATTTAGCACAGGCTTCCTTGGGATGATCATGAAGCCCTACTATGGCTCTATCATGCAGGCTGAGTCCTGCAAGGTCAGATCTGTAAGTTCTAAGCTTAGGTCCTGTGATGCTACAGGTGCAGTGGTAGACAGTCTCTTAGGTTTGCGGTGGTCCCAACTTTCTGCTGAGCTACGCTGGGAGTAGGGAGGTAGCTGGTTTGACAGCACAAGGTAGATCTTTGGCAGGATGGGGAGAGGAACCAGGTATGTGTTTATCTGAAACCCTGTTCTGCTTTGCTGCAGGATCTTATGTCTTTCTCTTGTGTTTTTTAGGTGGGTGAAACAGGAGTCTGAGATCTCCAAGGAGTCCCAGGAAGCTGAAACACGTCCCAAATTAGACTTGGGGTTTAAGGAAGGGCAGACCATCAAATTGAACATTGGGGTAAGCAGCCCAGTTTACCCTGCTTCTTTCTTTGGATAGGCCAGTGGAGACTTTTCCTCACTTGTCCTTTCTTTTTATACAGAACATGACAACAAAGAAGGGAGGAGCAGCCAAGCCCCGTGTCTCTGGATCAGGGGGCCTAAGCCTGCTGCCACCTCCACCAGGAGGCAAAATTGCTGTCCCTCCTATACCTCCACCTTCTTCCACAGCCATTGCTAACCACGTCACACCTCCACCTGTGCTGAAATCCAGTAACATGAGCAGTGCAGGTAAATACTAGCATAGAGCCAACAGTTTGTCAGACACTAGTAGGTGCATAGACAGGACTTCCAGTATCTGAAGGGGGCCTACAAGAATGCTGGAGAGGGACTCTTCATTGGGGACTGTAACAACAGGACAAGGGGTGATGGACTGAAGAGTTCTTGAAAATGATGTACCCCCATAGTGTGAGTGGGAGTCTCTGTGCACATTCAGCAAAAGGAGCTGTTACAACAAAAACCTTAAAAAGCCTAACTTCCTTATTCCAGGGGGCGGGCTGGAGTCTCTTTTCTGTCCCTGTATCCAACAGTTTGTATATATCAGTTTGAGCAGTTGTGATAGTTTAAATGCCTGTGTGTTTTCTACCTCATTAGCTTGATTTGGCTTGTATTGGTTTTTTTTTTGTTTGTTTGTTTTTGTTTGTTTTTTTTTTTTTTGTTTAATTTGCTTCAGATATTCTACTAGACTTAGATGCTCCTGCATCTGCATCCAAGGCACCAGCATCAGCTACCACAGACCTCTGGGGAGACTTCAGCACTGCATCCAGGTAAACTGTGGTGAAGAGAGCTGAAGACAAGAAGGGTAGTGTCCTGATGGGCACTGGAAGAGCTGTAAGCTAGGAAGTCTTATTAGATCAGCTCCTTTGATTCTTCTCTCTTTATTTCAGTGCTGTTCCAAATCAGGCTCCTCAACAGTCCAACTGGGTCCAGTTCTGAATGGTTAAAGTGGAATGGGACAAACTGATGACCAAGAGGCTCTAGAGGCACCAAATGGGATTAGAAGGGGCACAAACCAATATAGTCTTCAATCAAAAACAAGTTGGGACAATCCTTCCTTTTTAAAACAGATCTTCAGTCAAAACTGATCCCACAGTGAAATCACTGAACTTAAAGAGAACATACTCACTCCTTACAAGATGGGCAAGGAGGAGAGAGGTAGTCTCATCTCTTCCACCCGCTTGGCTGTTACATGGTACACCCTAGCTCTTTTTGCCCATTTTTTTCATACAGAGAAAGTGAAAATCCTGAAGAAGGTGGGTACGGGAGGAGGCTGGGCAGGTGCCGCTGGGTTCTTGTCCTTTAAATTTTCTCTGGTTAGACTGCTGCTTTTTGTGGCTGCTTTCAGTAGTGACTCAAGTCTGCAGCTCTGCCTGCAGTGCTGAGGACAGCCACATTTGGCTGCAGCATGTAAATGGAAGCTGTAAGGAGGACAGGTCTTGTCTCAACACAAAACCCTTTCTGATTAATTATATCTGTGGTGAGGAGTGAGCTACTCCACGCACACACTACTTCTCTTCAGTGCAATTCTTGATAGTGCTGGATGTTCCCGTGCTCTTGTGGGATGAGTCAGGCAAGTCCTTGAATAGACCTGCTGCCATTGTGCTGTAGCTCCAGGTGGGCACCTCATCTTGAGGCTCCTTGTTTGACTTGCGGGTTTACTGAAGGAAATTCTCTTATTTTCACTCATATCCTGCTCATGCAAAGGCCTCATTGTCATTGAGCTGTTTTAGACCACCAGGTAATCCCACCACTGAGCATTTCATGTTCCTGCATCGCTATCCTGAGCCCTGGCCTTGTGTTGTGACTTGGCACTGTGTTACAAGTATTGTATAAGCATGCCACAGTAAGAACTATGGTGGGACGGTAGGTTACTCTTACCCTTTTCAGCTCATGCTTAGAATAAGCCCAGTCTTAAGAACTGTGGCAGTAAAATTTTCCCACCTGTGTTCTTTCATGTGGCTTTTCTGAGGCTACTTTCTAGTGATGTGAGCTGGTTATTGTAACTTGGAATCATTTTTTTTTTTTTAATTATATTTTTAATGTGCTCCAAACCCCCTCTATTTCCTCTGTGGTTTAGGGGGTTAGAAAGAGACAAAAGGCCCTCACTATCTGCTGTTCTCTTTGGGAGAGTTTCTTAAGGCCCTTTGATCTGGACACTGTTTGATCTTCAGCAGCTATGGCTGTGATCTTGGGTGTAAGCCCAGTTTCCAGGCTGGAAACATCACCGTGCCAGCTACCCTCTGTGGCAGCTGATAAGCCAAAACACTGGCTGGGAAGGCCATCTCAGAGACTCAACTGTACCGACATACTAGAACACTAGGGTTTTGGTACTTCAAGTAGAAGGCTTCTTCCTGCTTTGATCACTCAACCAGCAGCAGCACTTTTGTAACTGGGACACACTCTGCATGCATACTTGTGCAAGTAAATTTTTCCCTTTGGGCAAAGTCTTCCTGGTGAGGCTTTTAAAAGTAGAGTAGTTAGCTGTAGACACCATATACTTGCAAAGGTGTCTTGTCCTTTTGACTTCTTTTCTGCACTGAGGGCATTTTGGAGATGAAGTTTCACTTAGGCCATCCATCTGGGAAGCAAAATTCTTGAACATAGCTCTAAAGCTGCTGTAGTTCCACTTACGGAAGTGGGGACCAAACTGCTCTTGGGTGTATTTTAAGTAGTCATTTGATTTTGATCCCCTTTCTCTCTTGGTTTCCCCCTGCCGTCCCTCCCCGCTTTCATAGTCACTCCTGCAATCTTGTACTTCGTGCCTCCCCTGAATCTGTGGGTGGCTGTTAATCTGCTGGCAAAGTCATGGACTCTGCTGGTTGGTTTTGGGTTTTTTTTTGATTTTTTTCTTTGGTTGTTTTTGTTTTGGTTTTTTTTTTTTGGGGGTGGTGTTTGGGTTTTTTTGTTTTCTCTCAAGTTGTTGTGAGGTCCTGTCATTTCAACTGTATATCAGTTCCCCACACCAAGGAAGTTCATAGCACCAATTAACAACTAAGTAGGAGCCTCTTCTGTATTGTCTTAGTATTCTGGAGATAATATATTATGTATTTGAAAAGCTGAAGAAGCAAAAATTAAAGATATATGTATATAAAGCATAAGATGTACTGGTGCAAATGGTAATTAAACAAGTAATATCGGGGAAAAGAATGTTCTGAGTCTTCCAAGTTGTTGAATTGTTGCTTTGGAAGCCCTTCAGATTGGAGGTCTTTATATCTCCAGCAAGATCCTAAGTAGCCTACTTACCCTTCTGCAAGTGTGCCTGCAGGCTGGACAGGAGCAACTTTAGGAGTGAACGGGTTCAGGCTGTCTTTGAGTGAAGAAGTAGGAGCATGGAAGGAGGGCACAGAAATAACCTACGTCTTTCCAAAAAACAGAAAACCACAACAAAACAAAGCCAAACAAACAACCATATGGAAACAGCCTTGACTGTAGGGGATGGTGTGATGCTTGGTAAGAATGTGGATAAAGCCAGCAAGTGAGAAAACGTAGTTGCCCTGCAGTTTGGCATTTTGGACATTAGAGGCTTCTACAGCCTGCAGGTGTTTTAAGAAGAGATTCTTGCCATACTTTTAAATGGGAAGCAGTCTCTGCTGACTGCAGAGGTGAGCAAGGGGAGCTGAGCAGGCCATTTATTGGGAGCACCAAGGGCAGGTTGCTCTGAAAGGGAGAGCAAGCTGGGAAGCTGAGTCACAGCAAGGCAAGCAGGGGCAGTGGCCTTGCTGACAGAGGAGCAGTGCCACAGTATTTCATCAGGAAGATAGAGGAGGTCAGGAAGAGGATTTAGATCAATAGAGTTCATGGCCAGGTGATGGGCATGGCTGCACTAGCTCAGGCAGGGGTTAAGGGTGAGAGCCTTAACTGAGATAAGCTTGCCAGCAAACCTTGCTGAGATTTCTCAAAGCCAGATGCCAGTATTATCCCCGTGTCCCCGTGCCTTTCTTCAGTGAGGCCTGCTAGAATGCAACAGCTTGATGTGTCTTGTGTAAATCCTCTCCTCCTTCTTGATGACCATCAGGAACAGCCTTTCCATCCACATGGGGAAAAGCTGGCTGTGATGGTAAGGTACTGGTGAAATGACTTGGCCCGTGACTTCACTGGCTGAATCTTTTCATCTCTTGCACTTTTTGTTGCCAGTGATTTCTTCTAGCATAGCAAAAGCCAGTATGCAGGCTGCTTGATAAGTACAGTCTCTGATGTTGCAGGCAATAGCATTCTCCAGGTAAAGGATAAGGCCAGGCCTTTGGTGTGGATCAGCAGATCAAACTGAGCAGTATCTCCTGAGCACTGATTATGTTCCACATAATAGATCTGCTGGTTTACTTAGGCCCCTAGGGAAGGGCTGTCCCTTGGTCTAAGAGGGGCAATGGTCAAAGGAGGAGAAAAGTTCATGCCAACTGGGAGGCAGACTAACACATAGAAAGGGTAAAGAAACAAGTGTCAAACAGAAAATCCCATTTTGTCTGGTTATTGGTTGTCTCTTCTTCTCCAAGAGCTGTTGAGGTGGGATGTGAGCATTTCTTCCCCTCCCCCCATTAATTCTGTTCTGTGTTCTGCAGCTTAAAATTCTACTACAGTAACAACTACAGCTGTGCAGTAGCTACTACAGCCATACAATTTGGATTGCAGGCACAAACTCGGTAGCTTTAACAAGGCCTTGGTACTGTGTGTGGGCTCCTGAAGAAATTGAGAGGAAGAGATATCCATTGGAGGAAATCAAACAAAAACCAAACAAGAAACCAAAAGCCCTGAAGTCTTCCTGAGCTTTGGTGATGGAGGAACAGGATCTGAACCTGAACTCACCCTGTTAAATCAGTATAAATCTACAAAGCTCCAGCAGGGAGCACAACCAGGCTGTCATGCATAAAAATGGAGCACTGGGGCTATGTAGCCAACACACACTGTAATGCATTAAGGTCAAGGCGTTCTACTGAGTGCTCATTGTTATGTGAACAACAGATTCTGAGTCTAGAGACTGTTTTGGGTCTCTTTCTTCCAAGTTAATAGGTTTGTCCATGTAATAGTCAGGAAAAGCACATTGCAGAATGAAGTTTGTCTTAACTTTGCCAGTTGGCATTAGCTATAGCAGTGTGCCCTCATCCAGAGTTGGGGCTCTGAAAGACCCTTGAAAGTGCCTCTGAGCATGGGAAGATCAATCAGCAACAGCTGGTACATGTAGTGGCTCTTGACCAGAGCCATGTTATACCATCTGTCACTGCTGGCAGCTTGTGGTGAACTTTCTGCGTCACTTGTGTTTGGGGCAGGCCAGCCAGGTAACTTGCAATGGCCTGCTTTCCCAGGCATTATAGGATGGCAGCTCCTTCATGTTGAGGTGAAGGCATCTGGCTTGCTTAGGAGACCAGATTGAAGAGAACATTCCCTGAAGAAGGGAGCTGCCTGTAACTTGCAGCCTTTGTGTTGAGCCTTGTGGTTTAGGGATGTGAAGAGGCATGGTGCTCCCTTGCCCTCCTAGACTGGTCTGCAAGTCTCACTGGGTTGCTTTCCCCTGCGACCAGGGCTTGCAAGCTCAGTGTCATCCATGATCACATGCTGCCATCTGCTGCTGAATCCCCTTTGATGAGGGGCAATCCCTGGGCTCAGCCACCATCTCCAGGGACTGGCTGGTCCCCCAGCAGTTGGAAGGTGGGTATACAACCATTTCCTGGCACCTGGGCTAGCACTGATTCTTTGGCTCTGAAGAGAAATTGCAGCTAGCATCTGTCAGCAAGAGCATGCTGAATCCTGCAGCAACTTATGGGCAGGGGAGAGCCGTGTCTGGGAGGGACATGGACAAGTGCTGGACCTGAGTATGGAACAAGCCACAAAGCAGAACTGCAGCATCTGGAGGTGTTCTCAGGGGCATATGAGATAGAAAGGGAAGGAAGAAGTGTCTTGACTTTAGCATGCAGGAGACATGAAGAAGGAGGTAGGCAACCATAACATGCCAGAACAAGAGCTTTGGTGGGTCTGGTTTAAAATGGACCACAACAGCTTAGCATGACAACAGAGTTTGCATGGGCTTTTATTGAATGCTTCCTTTAGCCCAGTGGCGGCTTTGCCTTCATGCCCACCAGTACCATAGTT